AGGTCATAGATTAATTTTTAGTCACAGATTATCGAATTTTAAAGGCACAGTTAGACCATTATGCGGTCACAGCTAGTCTAATCTATCACCACCGTCAACAGTTGTGAGCACCAGTTCAACGCCGTCTCTAACAGCACCACCACCACCACCACCACCACACCAACAGCACCCATGCAACCACCAGATCCACCACCATCGCCAGAGGCACTGCACCAACAGTACCCACGCGTAGGTAACAATGCTTCAGTCCTCATTGTAAGGCATGAACTTTGCTTGTAATACATTATTGTGGTGACTTGAATGAAAAGAGAGTTTAACATGACCAGTTTCCCAATCCCAGTGAATGATCTTCTTGTCGTCAGAGCATGATACAAGAACCTGCACCACCCACTACCAATAAGAACCACCAAAATCCCCAACACAACCAAAACACAACACCACCATCGCACAGCCACCACACTGCACACCTCCATCGTACCACGCACTGTCCCACTCGCCGGAATGCGTGCCACGCCGGAACATTAAAATCACCACCCGACTGCACAGTACACTGCCCCACTACTCAACCAGCGACCCACACCAAATCGCCCATCACAACTCACACACAACTCCACAGATCTGTGCGAAGAAATCAAATTAAGAAAAAGAAATTGATTCGCTCCGCCTCCGCCGTGACTCCACACCAAATCGACAATCACAGTGCCTCGCCGGAAGGTTAAAATCCCCCCCCGACTGCACACACTACCCCCCTACTCAACCAGCGAACCACACCAAATCGACCATCACAAATCACACACAACTCCACAGATCTGTGTGAAGAAATCAAATTAAGAAAAAGAAATTGATTCGCTCTGCCTCCGCCGTGAACCAGCACCACTACCCCTTCTCCTACTCGATTTGCAGTGCCGGAGACGATGGGCGCTTGTGGCGTAGTGTCGACCGGAGCAGCTCGATCGCCGTGACAACTTCCTCGTCGTGGCTGCCAATGGGTAAGGAAGGAAAGAGGGAAGGACGGTAGAGAGAGAATCATTTGGAGGAAAAGAGGTGGGGTGGAGGGAGGTAGGAATTAATTAGGGTTTGGAGTATATATATTGTGAACCAGCACCACCACCCCTTCTCCTACTCGATTTGCAGCGCCGGAGACGACGGGCGCTTGTGGCATAGTGTCGACCGGAGCAGCTCGATCGCCGTGACAACTTCCTCGTCGTGGCTGTCGGTGGGTAAGGAAGGAGAGAGAGAAGGATGGTAGAGAGAAAATGATTTGGAGGAAATGAGGTGGGGTGGAGGGAGGTAGGAATTAATTAGGGTTTGGAGTATATATATTTAGTAAAAATATTTATTTTATAAAAATATTAATTAAAATAAAATATCTGATTTTTGAAAGAAAAAGGATCTCACCTGAGTTTAGAATTGAGATTTCCAAAAGTAGAGTGGGATGTAATTTCCACGTAAGACAATCTTATAAGATTGGGCCAATTATTTAGCCCATTTCATTTTTTTTTTTTTAACTTAGGCTGTTGACTTATATTTTTAAATGGGGTGGCCCAAAGTTGAGTGCAGGCATCTGCGGGTCCGCCGCTGGGTATGAAGCAACTTGAAGGGTCACACATTGCACCACAATTGTTAGAATTATGTTGATCTCTCTCATTGATTTTACAGGTTCTGATTGGATGCGATGGATCCAGGTCGACTGTGGCTGATTTCCTCGGGCTCAAAAGCACAAAAAAATTTGCTATTCTTTCGGTTAGAGGTTTAACTAGTTATCCAAATGGTCATGCATTTGATTATGAGCTTACTCGCATGAGGAGGGGAAACATCTTGGTAGGACGAGTTCCAATTACTGATAAGTTGGTATTTTGGTTCGTTGCTCTACCACGGACTCCATCAGGTGAAATTTCATTTTTCTTTACTTTTTCTTTTTAAGATAAAGATTTGTGCAAGCATAATCTTACTAATTCATCTCAATTTTTCCTCACTTCTATCATTTCTACTTGTAAACAGATGAAAAATTGACTGATGATCCAGAAGTGATCAAACGATTAACCTCAAGTAAATTGAGTGGTTTCTCAAGTGATGTAGTAGAAATGATAGAAGGGGCTGAGTTGGATTCGGTGACTCTGACTCGCTTGAGGCATCGTGCACCATGGGACCTACTACTGACGACATTCAGGAATAGGACGGTGACAGTGGCTGGAGATGCAATGCATGTAATGGGTCCATTCCTAGGACAAGGTGGTTCAGCAGCTCTAGAAGATGCTGTTGTCCTCGCCAGGTGCTTGGCACAGAAAGTAAGCGCTGAAGACTTATCCATCTGCAGTAAGAAAATACTGATAAACAAAGCTGGAGAAGCAATCGATCTATACGTGAAGGAAAGGAGGAAACGGCTGGTGGCATTGTCAACACGAACATATATTACTGGCCTTCTACTGGAAACAAGATCAAAGCTAGTGAAATTCATTGTGATCATGTTGTTGGTCATTCTGTTTAGTGACCCAGTTGGTCACACCAAATATGACTGTGGTAAACTATAGTATGGCTGCCTTGTCTTTTGTTAGCAATAAGCTTGCAACTTGCAAGCTCGTGCTGAATGCCACCAACTAATACTAATGTGTTACTCAATTATTCTAGATTTGACAGTTGAAAACTTGAATGTGTTCAAGCCTGTTTGGGGGAGAGAGTATAGAAAGACTAAAACTAGGAATCATTCTAGACACCCTTCACCAAAATAGAAGGTCTAAAAGAAAACTTTGGCACATTGTTGAAGTTCAGTTGTCGCTAGTTTTGGGGGGATGTATTTTCAACAAGCACTTTCCTTATAAATAGATTACCTACGCCTACTCTTGGAACAAAACTCCTTGCGAAGTCCTTTTCAACGAAATACCAACCTGTAACTATGTCCTCAGACCTTACAATGGGCACAACGTTGGATTTTACACTTTTTCAATTGAATTTCTTGGTTTCTGTATGATACGTAAGGGCTACTGATCATTTGATTTTCTACAAGTGTATGGGATCGCGAACAAGTAATGAAGTGATGAGTGATATGTTGTTCCCACGAGGACTATCCACCTAATCGAGGACCAGTCAATCTTAACTTTAAGCAAATAGCCAACTTTGTTTAAAGAGTTTATACTAATTAACTCATTAAGCTAACTATTCTAGTGAGCAAATTATGGAGGTTTTGTAAATTTAGATGAGATGTCACTAAGACCTCAAATCCCCTTTATTAATCCGTTTCTATTCATCCAATAGCATGACAATTTGTGCATATTCTTGTTGATCAATGTTCCTAAATTAATTAAAATCATCTCTCAATATCAATTAAATATATTCTCTAATGTGACCTTCCTATATCTCTATGAAAGAATTATTAGTCTCTGAAAATTCAATTCAAATTAGTCGTATTTTTATTGAGTTTGACCAGTTCAAGCTTACGAACAAGCTTAGACAGTTCTCCTTCCATGGACATTCCGTTCATTCGACCATCACCCATGCTTCAACATCTAAGTTTTCGTTAGAATAAACAAAATTTAAGGGCCTCCCTCTCCACTTAGCAAGCCGACTAATATTGAATGTGAATGACCGACTTGATATTCTTATTCTCAATCGACGAATTATCATAACATGAACTCGACGATTATATTCAGTAGCAGGGTGATGATTCAGATGCTCATTCTCGGTCCAGCAAAGTCTCCTCTCCAGCAGTGACACCCTAGCCTTCTCATAGAAAAAGACGTCTCCCTTGTTCTAGGTAGTTCGCTGCAGTCAGGTGGTAAGAAAGAGATTAACTAAAGCCACACCTCTAAAATTTACACAACAATTCAATTAGTAACTAATTAATTGAAAAACATTAACTTCTATAACAATCATCCAAGAATAAACACATATTGAGTGTCAATTTATCGAATTTATATTAAAAACTTCATAATAAGGGTTCGTCCACGTCTTAGTAATTGAAAACTTAGCCTAGAATTACAAAATTGTAAGAAAACATGTTTAATTAATGAATTTTGAGTTGATGAAGGAGAAGATGAAGATGAATCTTAATTTCTTGAATTTCTTTAGTTGTCTTGATGAATCACCAATTATTCGTCTTGTTGTTTCCCAAAATCAAGGTTTGAATATTCAACGTGGGATAATCGTGCAATTTCCCTTTAATTCACACAAAAATAATTGAATTGATCTCTCTTTGATGATGTAAATTTATGAATAATGGTGTATGAGAGGTGTCCTCTAATGTATGCCGACGTTCTATATTTATATGAGTTGAAAATAAGTTAAAAATCGTGTCCAAAAACGTACCCAAACAAGAGTTTGAATTAAAATAGAAAACTACGCATCAAGTTCTCATTTGAACCGCGCACCTTCGCAAGCCATTTGTCGGAATCCGTGCTACTTTAGCCTTTTAATCTCGGGTTCCTCAAACGAGGGGTTCGCACTCCTGCAGCGTATTTCATGGAACACCCGCTGTTCATTTTTTTAAAATGTGCATTTTAGTCCCCAAACTTTGATTCTTGATTCATTTATGTCCTTTTCTAATGCAATTTTCTTCCTTTAGCTTCCAATAGCATCCAATTAAACCTGTTTGATCTTCAATGATCATCTTGTGGTTCAAATCAACTATTAAAAAGTTATAATTTAGTCCCCGAACTTTGAAAATAGCCATTGTTCGCCATTTTTCGTTTCTTTCTTTCGATTTCACTTCTAGTCATCAAGTCTTACCTAAAAAATGAAATAAAATAGATTAGGCCATAATAAATCAAAAGAACTCCTAAATGTCTTTATTAAAAGCTCAAATTAGTGTATAAATTGCATTTATCGAACACCCAAACTTTAACATTTGTTTCCTCAAATAAAAGCATTACATAACTTAATAAACAAACATGAAACGCAGTTTTGGTTAGATAACATGTCGTTTTGTCTCAGGATTGGAATCATTGTATTAAATTTATAAATAGTTTCAAGGTCATAATACCAAAATCAACATCAACTTCTCCAATCCAAAACTGATGTGGATGTGTGAAGAATCAAGTAAAATATTATAAATTCACAAATTGCTTCAATTCTCGACCATCATACTCAAATTTATCATTTCTTCATTCGTAAGATTCATACACTCCCAAACTTATTCTTTTTTACTCTTTTTGCAAGGTATGATTTAAAGTTGACTTTTTATACTAATTTCTCACCCTCTCTAGTTTAGATGGATCTCACCAATTGAAAGTCAATATTTCAACAAATAAGGACTTATCCAAAGTTTTGATTTCTTCAACCTCCAAGAATCCATTAGGTTATGTCAAAATTCTAATTCTCTCAAATAAATATTTGGGATTAATCAAGACATGTAGTATGTTAAAACTTTTTTATCTTATGTGCGGACTTTTCTCCATTAAACATTTAAAATGACTCTTGTAGCGAGCTTTTGGTTGATAATTCCCAAGTCAGATGACTATAAGACACCAGATTTTAGATACCCTTGTAGACTTGAACACTCGAGTCATAAAGGTTAGAAGAAAAGCTCACAATGAGTCAGCTTTCTTTCTTTTTTTTTATTTTTTTACCATGATTAGTGCAATTTCCTTTATTAAACACTCATTCTAAAAAATAGACCCCTAACTTATGATTTTCATCTAATTTTCATCTTATTGGTCTTAGAAAATCCATACAAGAATTCACACATAGAATCTACATTCATATCAATGTCTCCCTATAGTTCAATTATTCCTAAACTATGCTAAATTTGATCTAAAGATGTATATTGCAGTAATTTTTGGGTTTATCATCTAAGTTCTATTATTTCAACCTATTAAGTATATAAATCAACTCATTATTTCATAATGCTAAACTTAATTCAAGTACGCAAAAGTATCAAGTTTTATACGAATAATAATCAATTAATGTGAGCATGTGAATTATCCTCATTTCACAAATCAAAACATAATTTCAAATATATTAATCATTACTCGCTAGCTACCTAACCCACATAAGCAAGCAAATGAAAAAGTAAATATTTTTGAAATTTAAAAAAAATGATTTTTTAAAATCATTTTTATGCCCCTAGAGCCTTGAATATCGCGTCACATACTATTTTTACTATTTTTACTCGATTTTTTTTTATTTAGGCTTCATGTAGACATGGTGACACTCCTATTTAAGCAAAACATGCCCTTTGTTTTCAATTTTTCTCTTATATAATAAAGTGGTAAAATCACACAATCGCACATGAGAATAATAAAACAAAAATTCAATATTTTTTCCACTCCCAAACTCAAAGTATACATTGTCCTCAATATTTTAAAGTATAATCTAGCACATAAAGGGACATGGAAGAAAGGAAGAAGGTACTCCCTAAATTTTTGTCTCATATTTGAGGTAGCTTGTTGAATTAGTTCATTCTATTCTTTAACTTGTTAAGCTTCCTTCCGTTTGAAATCCTTGTACCTTCAAAAGATGAAAGAAGACAAATATAAGAGTAAAAAATTACTTAAAAAGCTAGAATGTGGTGTGTATGATGCTAATTTTTTTAAAATCTAGGCTTGATGTAGACATGATGACCCTTTTATTGAAATATAAACATTCCTAAAACTAATGCATCCTAACTAACTATATGCAATATAAATACAAAAAGCATAATAAATAAAAGTATAATAAATTGGGTTGCTTCCCTTTAAAGTTTTAGCAAGACTTTGCAGGTTGATTATTCCGGATTGATAAGGTGGATCTTGGCCTTTTCTCTTGCAAATTTACCACCCCATTATGGTTTCAAGCGTTGCCAATTAACTTTGAAAGTTCCATTGATTTCATGAGTCACCTCAACTATAAGTGGAAAGTCTTGTACAACTGTGAAGGGTTTGGACCATGTCGAGTGCAGTTTCCTAAGGAAAACCTTCATTCTGGAACTGAATAATAAAACTTTTGTCCCGGTGCAAACTCTAGTGATTGAATGTATTGATCATGCAATCTTTTTGATATTTCTTTGTAAATTCTTGCATTCTCATAAACATTCATTCTGAACTCATCCAATTCATTCAGTTGTAACAATCTCTGTTATCCAGCGGCTTGTACATCAAGATTTAACTTTTTCATTGCCTAGCATGCTCGATGTTCCAAATCCGCTAGAAGATGACATGTTTTCCCAAACACAAGGCGATATGGGACATACCTATTGGTCTTTAGAAAAGCAGTTCGATATCCCTACAATGCATTATCTAACTTTTTAGTCCAATCTGTTGGTGAAGCATTCACTGACATCTCTACTATTCTCTTCAATTCCCTGTTTGATACCTCAACTTGGCCACTTGTTTGAGGATGATAAGGTGTCACAACATGATGTTTGATCCCATACTTGGCTAACTTAATTTAATAGGTGATTGCAAGAGTGTTTACTACAATAACTGATAATGCTTCGAGGCACGCCAAAATGTGAGAATATGCTCTTTTTCAAAACGTTGATCACCATTCAAGCATCATTTGTTGGTGCTGCTACTGCTTTTACCCATTTTGAAACATAGTCAACTGTTACCAACACATT